TCTTGACTCAATTGTGCTCCTCCTAGTATGACAGTGATTGATTGATTTCCTCCTCCTTCAGAGAATGTAGCTTGACCCATAGCAAACCTTACTTCAGCCTCTGTAAGGTAAATAATAAACATAAAATTTTATAAATGATTATACTAACGATCATCATCTTGTATCCTGATGAATGATGGAGTCCGGTCTATTGTTAATGCACTATTTTTTGGAAAGATACTACTTATAAATACTGTAAAGTTCTCAAATAGTTGTTCACTAATGGTATCATTTATAATATTAAATCTACCACATGTCCTATTTCCAAATGCAGGTAATACTGAATGAACTCCACGAGTTCTATAGTCACCTAATGTAATTAAAGGGCACATAATGCAATAAATACCGGTATTAATACTTACTCCTAAATCGTGCAGTGTTATCCCAAGCTCGTATAAAAATTTCTGTATCAGTTGATAATACTCCTCCAGTTAGTACAGCACATATTTCTACAGTTCCTTCATTCTCAATCACATCATATGTTCCTCTCTCTAATGACAGCACACCAGCTATACAATGAATAATACAATGGTAATATGACTTAATTCTTCTCCCCTCTCAACTTACTGTCATCATCAATAATGGTGATGGTAGCTTTCTGCCGGTCTGTCTGTACTTGAACAATACCATCACTACTAGGTAATATGATGACTCTTATTGTTTCATCTCCCTCAATGATATTATCATCAATACTAGTGATAGGAGTGAATGTAATATCATTCAGTGTATTATTGGGTCTGTAGGTTAATCTTAGAATAACAGGATTAAAGGAGAAATCACTACCTATAATTATTAATATTAAAAACGAACTACAAAATTATGTCAATACTAACCATTTGAGGCACTCCCAGATATGAGTTTTAATTGAACTGGTTGTAAACGATTCTCTGGAAAGCCTCCAATGTCTTCACCACCTTTCTCATTTCCTATCTGCTTTATAGTTAATGGGGCCACTTCACCTTCTCTAATAGTAACACGTAGGTCTCTAAACCCAATACTGAAAACTAGAATACAAGAATGATAAAATTGTCTCATGAACAAATGATTTACCATCTTCATTCTCAAGTCTTACTAATTGAGTATCAGAATTTATCTTAACTCTAGAATCATTAACACTGAGTCTCCATCTAAACAATTCTGGTAACTCTACAATATTATCCCGTGGCATGAAGAAAGTCACATGCTCCAAACGTTGATCAATTGCTGTTGCTGGTTGAAATACAGCACTACGCTGCTCAGTAAAGTTGAAGAGATCTAAATTAAAGGAGTAAATGAATATTTAAAAACTTAAGATGCATTACCAAAGTCTCCAACAGCAGCTTCATCTCCAGTCATTGTGCCTGTCCACTTCTCAAGTGAGACAGTGACTTCAAAAGGAGTTTCATATGTAATTAATTGACGCCTAATGACAGCTGTGGCATAACTACCTTCTAATGATTGTAGGAAGCATGTGCATCCTATTAGACCTACAGTAATCACTGAAAGTGAGAGAAAATTTAAAAAAATCAAAAGTTCAAAACGAATTGACTTACTGTCTATATCATCAATTGTAATGCTAAGACGTCTGTATACAAGTACAGCTCCTGATGGTATTGCTGGATTACCTGGACCAGTTTCAGCAGCAATCAAGTAATCAAATGAAAGAGTTGGTTGGAGAGCAACTCCATTCTCGTATGATACATATTGTATGCTAAACCATTCTGGTAGGAAACTATTTGCTCGTCCACGAAAATCTGAGCTTAAGTAGTCAGTAACTTTAATAATTAGAAAGACTAAAAATTAAGTAAATAAGAGCATTATCTACCATCAACGGCTGGTTCTCTTGAAATAACATAATCCAGACAAGTAACATCAGGAGCCCCAGGAGTACTGAGGAGTACATCAGCAGTAAATGAGTATCTTCTACCAGCATCACTTGGACCAATATGTACACGTGATTGATTAAAACCAACAACTAGTGAATACAGTATAAATAAATAAAAATGGCTTCTAAATAATAATAACATTAAAATAATAAAATAACTCGGTGTTTATGTTACAAACTCTCTTACCAACACATGCACCACACTGTGCAGCTAGTGAAGAGTGTCGTATATATCCTCCACCAGTTCTATTACAGCAGTCAATAGCTACAAGACTGACTCCATTAGTATTACTAGTACAATCAGCAGCAGATGAATAACACTCTACAATTACATCCTCCTGCAATTGGCCTTGAACTAGATCTATACATAAAGTAAACAAGATTACTTTAACATACATTTGATAATTATACCTGTAAGTAATAGCAAAAAGAAACTAAAGAATACAAGAGCCATATTGACCTTTTTCATTGTTAAAATTCTATTCCTGCTATAGATAGATGGATGATGTCAATGATGACTTCATAGGACAATGAACATATAAGGCATTGACCTTAACAGCGTAAAGGTGGGTTTATAATAATTATTAAACTTGTCCTGATATCACATTGACACTGGTTTAAAATTTAATTCTATCATATAGAGTAAGTGAGAGTCCTTGCACTGGCACATGATCTCAAAATAAATCTATTATCAGTGAACATATCAGGGAATTGTGATTACCAAACATTTTAGAAGTCAAGGAGGGTTACTGCAAACTTTTAAGATTTTGTAACAGAGGTACTTCCTGAAGGAGTGAGTGAGGAGGAAAAAATTACCAAAAGCAGAATTGAGTTCAGTAGAGAATTATCTAAATTAATTATTTTTAGTTTATTATCATAAAAAATAATTTTAAAATAAAGCCTCAATGTCAAAAACCATTTGTGATACATGTAATGCAAACTAGTAACTGACGCAATTAAACCTAGCTTTATGAAGCAAAGTTGGTGGCAGTCTGGAAATATTGAGGGTTCAAGTATATATTTACTGAATACTGGTTTACACACTACCAATCGCATAGTGGGTTATCTTGTGGATCTATTATTTCACTGTTTGTTTAAGTTTTGTGGTTGACAGTTAATTAGTTCACATTATGCTAGTAAGGGGATGAGGTTAATGAATTCATGACTTTTAATTTTGCAGTGTGTCCCAAAACTACAAAAACCACAAAAATAAAATGACATATAAAATTGTCCACAGGACTCCTCCCAATTTAGATATTTTGCAATTAGCATCCTCAAATTATTAAAAAAGAAGGTGGCTACAAACATTAAGAGTTAAACTACATTGTTCGGGAACTATAGTATGGCATGCTGCTATACTTATTCACAATAAAAATGAGCACTTACTATTTTGTTATGTAGATAACTTAATAGCACTGCCAGTCATTCATTAGGTGAGAGTACCAATGTACCATACCACTGACTGTGAAGTGGTACCAGTACAGCTTCTACATATAAACAAATAAATAGTCTAAATAAATTAATAAATATATAACAAGCATAATTACATAAATAAATATAGAAACAAAATTATATTAGAGTAATCAATGGGGCAGTGCTACCTTGTACGAATTGAAAATTTCTTGAATACTTGAAATCCATGCATGTAGCTAAGTGCAGGAAATATCAATATAATAGCAACCAATGATTGCATAGCCAAAAATTGGGTACTTTGCCCACAATCAAAAAATTAAAATCAAATTTTAATTAGATCAAAAAACTAATACATTTAGCAATTCATAATTTTAAAGTTTTAAGTCTGAGGACATTTTGCTGATAGACTAATCATCATCCCGTATCCTAATAATTGATTGATTCTTGTCTATTGCTACTGCACTGTTCTGTGGATTAACATTGACTATTTCAACTTTAAAGTTCTGATACAGTTCCTCTTTAACAGCATCATTCATGATATTAAATCTGCCACATGTCCTGCTTCCAAATGCTTTTAGTATTGAATGCATTTCACGAGTACTATAGTCACCTAGTAATTACAGGATATATAATTTAATGAATAGCAATGTTTATGGGTACAATACAGTGCATGGCACTTGGAGCAACTTTTAAAATTTGTAAAAAAATCCAATTTTGATCGAAATCAGCTCCAACTTGAATTACAATGCAAGTACATGTATATACATTAGACAAAATTATAAAAATGGAGAATTCTCTCCAAATCATTTTTGGCAAAATTTGATCAATGACCCTGTACTACAGTACAGGCACTTTGGCCTGATTTTAGAAAAATTCATAAAAAATGCCAAGTTGATCAAAATCAGCTCAAACTTGCTACACAACACAAGAACTTGTATATGCATCAAGAAAAAATTATGAAAGTGAAAAATTCTGTTTGAGCCATTTTTGGCAAAATTTTGCCAACGACTTCAAAAATTCATTAAAAAGTAATTTTTATTAAAATCAGCTTGCTATATGCATTCAAAAAAATATGCTTAAAATTTTTTTCAAATTTTTGAGCAACTTTAAAATCCACTGATAAAGGACCTGCAAGCAGGAGCAGTATGCAAAAATCCTGTGAAAAACCGTGGTAATGTTAGATTAATACGTACTGTTCCATACTGCAGTGTTATCTTCAGTTTGTAGAGTTATTACTGTATCAGTTGATAATACTCCTCCAGTTAGTACAGCACATATTTCTACACTTCCTTCATTCTCAATCACATCATATGTTCCTCTCTCTAATGACAGCACACCATCTATACAGTAATAGATTATAGACAATTATTCTTTGATACTCTACATTATGTTTTGTACTTACAGTCATTATCAATGATGGTGATTGTAGCTGTTTGCCACTGCAGCTCTACTTGTACATTATGGTCATTAGGGTCATTTGATCCCCCACCAGGTACTATGATGACTCTTATTGTTTCATTTCCTTCAATGATATTATCATCAATACTAGTGATAGGAGTGAATGTAATATCATTCAGTGTATTATTAACACTGTAGGTTAATTTAGGAACAGTAGGATTAAAGGAGAAATCAGATTGTAAGCCACCTATAGTGCTAATAAACATTAGGTCAATGACAATATAATACACACCTCTTGTAGCATTCCCTCCTTCATGTCTTAATACAATTGGTTGTATTTTGTTTTCTGGTAAACCTCCAATTGCTTCTCCCCCTCTCTCATCTCCTATCTGCTGTATAGTTAGCACTAGTGTCCCTCCTTCCATTACTGAGATATTAATATCTTTAATACCAATTCTAAAAACTGCAAAAAAATTATAGCCAAAAGATTAATGCTAATATTACTTTAATACTTTCAATATGCCTATATAGTAATCCACTTAAAGCATTGTGATAATTATTTCATTTTTCCTTACCATCCTCACTGTCAACAATGAGTTGCTGAGTTGTAACTCCTGTAATCTTAACATGTGCGCTAGTAGCACTAATTCTAATCAGGAATACTTCAGATAGTTCAACTATATTGTCTACAGGAACCATTAAAGGTACAGGCTTTACAATAACATTCTTGTCTTGGGCTGAATCAAATAGAACATTTTGCTTTAAAAAGTTAAAATTATCTTCAAAAAAACATAATAAGCATGTAATAATTTTATACCGAAATAATATCATACCAAAATCTCCTAAAGCTGCTTGATTCAAGCTTCTTAAATCTTGATACTTTTTATATGATAGAGTAATTTCAAAAGGAGTCAAAAAATCAATCTTTTGACGCTTGATATAAACTTGAGCTGTGATACCTTCTACAAGAAATGAGCAAACTTGTAGGCGAACAGACATTGCTATAAAATGGAAACAAGGACATTTTGATTATTGCAAAACAAATACACTTACTGTCTATATCCTCTATTGTAATACTAAGACGTCTGTATACAAGTACAACTGCTGATGGTATTGGTGGATGAATTGAACTAGTTTTAGCAGCAATTGTGTAATTGAAGGAAAGAGTTGGTTGGAGAGCAACTCCATTTCCTTGTGATACATATTGTAGAGAAAACCTTTCTGGTAGGAAAGCATCAGTTTGTCCGCTAAACACTGGAGTCCTTAAATAGTCAGCAACTTTAATCAAAAAGATAAATATAAAGCAAATGAGACTAAGTTTACCATCAACCAATGTTCTTGGCTCTTGTGAAATAGTATAATTTAGACCAGTAACATCAGGAGCCCCAGGAGTACTGAGGAGTACATCAGCAGTAAATGAGTATCTTCTACCAGCATCACTTGGACCAATATGCACACGTGATTGATCAAAACCAACAACTAGTGAATAAAAACAACAACAACAATAGAGTACTAATATTATAGGATTTCATATAAAACTTTGTGTATTAAAATTTTACATATTCCACACATGGAAATTCAATCACATTCAATGTGTACTTTTCAATTTAAAACAGCTTAAGAATTAAAATTTACAAAGTCTCTGGGTAAATCTACATTCTGTGGTAATCTTACCAATGCATGCACCACACTGTGCCACTGCATTCAATGAAGAATGAGATATATATCCTCCACCAGTTCTATTACAGCAGTCAATAGCTGCAAGACTGACTCCATTAGTATTACTAGTACAATCAGCAGCAGATGAATAACACTGTACTATGACATCCTCTTCTAATTGCTGTGTCACTATATAAAAACTACATTTTAATGACATTTGATAAACTGTATTCTATAGCACCTAAATAACTGACTGCCTAAGTTGCCACAGCAACATGTGGTTAATTGTTATGCTATTTTGCTTAAAGTTAGTTTACAATGCATAATAAGTGCAACATTATCAAATGTGATTGCCCTTTGATTCATACAAAACAGTTCAAGTCAGGCCTTCATCTAGGATTTTATACAAGGGGGCAGAACTAAAAATATTTCAAAGAAGGGGGTCACTAATATTTTCTATTGTGCATGCACAATGTGTGCTCACAACACTTATACAATGTACTGCTGGGGTGATGAAATTTTTATGTTAATAAGTCAATCAGGGGGGGGAGACTCCGCCCCCCTAAATGAAGCCCTATTAAACTAAATTGTATTTTAGAATACTATTAAATACATTAATACACAACATTTCTAATTTTATTGATTAACTTACCATCATCATCTTCTACAGTCACATTCATTGTTCCTGGATAACCTAAAACTATATTACTAATGTTCCTTAATCTTAGTAGATAATGTTTATCAGGTTCCAGTGCAATGTTATTATCAATCACTGGAAAAACAACAGTCCTAGTACCAAAGGTGACAAAACCAAGTGATACTCCATCTAATGCATTAATATAATAAATATAATAAATTCTGAACTTACTGCTGGTTCCATCATCAATGTAAACTTCAATTTTTTGTTCTTGACTCAATTGTGCTCCTCCTAGTATGACAGTGATTGATTGATTTCCTCCTCCTTCAGAAAATGTAGCTTGACCCATAGCAAACCTTACTTCAGCCTCTGTAAGGCAACTAATAAACACAGAGTTTGATAAATGATTGTACTAACGATCATCATCTTGTATCCTGATGAATGATCGAGTCTGGTCTATTGTTAATCCACTATTTTCTGGAAAGATCCACCTTATTGATACTGTAAAGTTCTCAAATAGTTGTTCACTAATGGCATCATTTATAATATTAAATCTACCACATGTCCTGTTTCCAAATGCAGGTAATACTGAACGAACTCCACGAGTTCTATAGTCACCTATTTAAAGGACATAATTATATTGCAATGATCATTAATATTAGCATTTACTCCTAAATCGTGCAGTGCCATCTCTAGCTTGTAGAGTTATTTTTGTATCAGTTGATAATACTCCTCCAGTTAGTACAGCACATATTTCTACACTTCCTTTATTCTCAGTCACATCATATGATCCTCTCTCTAATGACAGCACACCAACTATGCAATAAATAATAAAAATAAAATTAAAAAGTTATAACTTACCGTCATTATCAATAATGGTGATGGTAGCTGTCTGCCGGTTTCGCGGCATTTGAACAAGATTATAACCACCATGTGACATGATTATGATGACTCTTATTGTCTTATTTTCCTCAATGATATTATTTTCAAAACTTGTGACAGGAGTTAATGGAATATCATTCAGTGTATTATTGGCTCTGTAGGTAAACCTTGGAACAGTAGAATTGAAGGAGAAATCAGCACCTAAAATTTAAAAACTGATATTACTAAACAACTAAGTTACTACTAACCATTTGTGGCACTCCCAGATTTGTGTTTTAATTGAACTGATCGCAAACGATTCTCTGGAAATCCTCCAATGCCCATACCACCAGTCTCATCTCCTATCTGCTTTATAGTTAATGTTGCCACGTCTCCTTCTTTAATAGTAACATGTAGATTTTTAAACCCAATATAGAAAGCTATAATAGAAAAATAATAATCCAATCCCAAAAATGACTTACCATCTTGATTGCAAAGTCTTACTAATTGAGTGGTTTTCATAGGATCTAGTCTAACTCTAGAATCATTAACACTGAGTCTCCATATAAACACTTCTTGTAACTCTACAATATTATCCTGTGGCATCAAGAAAGCCACTTGTTCAGAACGTTGATGAAAGTAAAATTTATATACTGGTGTTGGTTGAAACACAACACTACGCTGTTCAGTAAAGTTGAAGAGATCTAAATTAAAGGAGTGAATAAATTATAAAAAATTATTATGTCATACCAAAGTCTCCAACAGCAGCTTCATCACGACTCAATGGGCCAGTATACCTCTCAAGTGAGACAGTGACTTCAAAAGGAGCTTCATATGTAATTACTTGACGTCGAATAATGGCCACAGCATCACTACCTTCTAAAACCATTGATGGAGGTTCAAGACCAACAGTAATTACTATAAAATGAGAGAGAGAGAGGGTGGTCACAATAAATTGATTCAATACAAACCCACTGTCTATATCATCAATTGTAATGCTAAGACGTCTGTATACAAGTACAACTCCTGATGGTATTGGTGAATAACTTAAATCAGTTTCAGCAGTAACCCAGTAATCAAATGAAAGAGTTGGTTGGAGAGCAACAGCATTTCCTTGTGATACATATCGTATGCTAAACCTTTCTGGTAGGAAACCATTGGTTAGTCCAGAAAAATCTGAACTTAAGTAGTCAGCAACTGTAATGAGAAAAATAAAAATAAATAAAGAATTTTTTACCATCAACTAGCATAGCTGGCTCTCGTGAAATAGTATAATCCAGACAAGTAACATCAGGAGCCCCAGGAGTACTGAGGAGTACATCAGCAGTAAATAAGTATCTTCTACCAGCATCACTTGGACCAATATGTACACGTGATTGATCAAAACCAACAACTAGTGAAAAGCATAAAAATAGAACTTAATAATGCTGATCATAATAATGTCTTACCAACACATGCACCACACTGTGCAGCTAGAGAAGGATGAGATATATATCCTCCACCAGTTCTATTACAGCAGTTAATAGCTGCAAGACTGACTCCATTAGTATTACTAGTACAATCAGCAGCAGATGAATAACACTGTACAGTGACACTTTCCTGCAATTGACCTCGAACTAAACACAAAATAAAAATGATTATTAAATTGATTTACCTGTAAGGAATAACAAAAAGAAAGGAATGAATACAAGAGCCATCTTGACCTTTCTTCTCACATGACCATGTAGTTATAATTATCAATTATTACTACTCCTGCATGCTAGATAGTCAGTCACACAATGATAACTTGATAGGACAATGACTATATAAGGCATTGACTTTATCCAGTATTAAATAATAAAGACAAGGCATGTCTTAAATCACAACTTTGAATCATGAAAAACAGTAGCTATAGATCTACAGTATAACCACTTTTTGCCAAAAATGAAAATTATACTTTTGCTAATTAGAAAAATAAATATGTTAATTGTCATCATCTTGTATCCTAACTGTAGACCAGGTATAGTCCACATGCAAATTTTTATTCCAAGGAATTACTCTGAAGATGTACATATACAATGCCTCATAAAGTGTCTCCTTTATATTATCATTGACAATGTAAAGGGTTGCACAGGTACTGTTCTTATATGGAGGCAGTACAACATGAAAGTTGAAGAAAATGTAATCAACTAAATAAAGGGAGAAAAAAATTTGTGTAATTCTATAAGTACATGCTGAATTATTTACATTGATATTTAGCAGTCCCTTGAGCATCAAAAATGTTAATGTTCATTGGAGTTGATAAAAATCCTTTAGTTAGGACAACACATATTTTGATGCTACTTTTATTCTCCATAACATCATATAATCTTCTTTCCAGGAACACATTAACCACTATATAGTATTAAATTATAATGTCATCACCTTCACTTTTAGTGGCTTAACTCACCATCATCATCCTCTATAGTCACATTCATTGTTTCTGGATTACCTAAACCTATATTACCAATGTTCCTTAATCTTAGTAGATAATGCTTATCAGGTTCCAGTGCAATGTTATTATCAACCACTGGAAAAACAACAGTCCCATTTTGTGGTATAGCACCAGTACCAAATGTGACAAAACCAAGTAGTGTTCCTTCTATAATTGAAATAAATGCATTAAAACTGTAGTATATGATTAAACATACTTGTAGTTCCATCATCGATGTATACTTCAACATCTTCACTTTGACTTAATTGTCCTCCTCCTAGTATGACAGTGATTGATTGATTTCCTCCTCCTTCAGAGAATGTAGCTTGACCAATAGCAAACCTTATTTCAGCCTCTGCTTAGTGCATAATACGACTAAACATGGAATTTTATAATAATTATACTAACGATCATCATCTTGTATCCTGATAAATGATGGGCTCCTGTCAACTGTTAATCTATTATTTCCTGGAAAGATGTCAGTTATTGCTACTGTAAAGTTCTCAAATAATTGTTCACTAATGAGATCATTCCTAATTCTAAATCTGCCGCATGCCCTGTTTGCAAATGAATGTAATGTTGGACGAATTCTAAGAGTACTATAATCACCTAATTAAAGAACACATAATGCAATAAATATTAATACTTACCAATGCATACTGCAGTGTTATCTCTAGCTTGTAGAGTTATTTCTGTATCAGTTAATAATACTCCTCCAGTTAGTACAGCACATATTTCTACAGTTCCTTCATTCTCAATCACATCATATGTTCCTCTCTCTAATGACAGTACACCAGCTATACAACAAAAAATAGATATTGTCACATCTCCTCTCAATTATTATATAACTTACTGTCATCATCGATAATGGCAATGGTAGCTGTCTGTCTATCTCTTGGTATTTGGATAACATTATTACCATTACGCAATATGATGACTCTTATTGTTTCATCTCCCTCAATGATATTATCATCAATACTAATGATAGGAGTGAATGACATATCATTCAGTGTATTATTGGCACTGTAGGTTAATCTTGGAACAGTAGAATTTAAAAGAAAATCACTACCTAATAATGTAAAATTACCGTATAGCTGGTTTATTTCGTGGCCTCAAATTTTTGCTGCTTAAATTTTCATTAGAATTAATTTTAGTGCCTTGCTAAATTTTTGTTAATATTTAATTGGTTTTAATAAAATTTAGTGGAATTAATTTTAGTGGATTTGAGCCTGCACGAAAATTAATTCCACACGAAATAAACCAGCTATACGGTAATATGAATAAATCTATAAAATACTATTAACCATTTGTAGCAGTCCCAGATATGTGTACTAATTGAACTGGCTGTAGACGGTTCTGTGGAAATCCTCCAATGTCTACACCACCAGTCTCATCTCCTATCTGCTTTATAGTTAATGTTGCCACTTGTCCTTCTCTTATAGTAACATGTAAATCTTTGAAACCAACTCTGAAAACTACATTTACAATTAATTAATTTTACTAGCAGTAATAACATACCATCTCGATTGTCAAGTCTTACTATTTGAGTGTTAGGATTTATCCTAACTCTAGAATCATTAACAGTGAGTCTCCACTGAAACACTTCTTGCAACTCTACAATATTATCCTGTGACATCAAGAAAGTTACACGTTCAAAATTTTGATCAAATTGATATTCTGGATGAAATACAACACTATGCTGCTCAGTAAAGTTAAAATTATCTACAAATAAACTAAATGATAATCAACAATGAATGTATCATACCAAATTCCCCAACAGCAGTAAAAAAATAAGGATTTCTAAACCTCTCAAGTGAGACAGTGACTTCAAAAGGAGCTTCATATTCAATTAATTTATGCCTAATGACAGCTACGGCAGTACTACCTTCTACAAAAGGGAAGCATTGTAGTTCCAGACCAACACTCATTACTGAAAGTAAGAAAGAATGAACACAATCATTTGATTCAATAATGTACTCACTGTCTATATCATCAATTGTAATGCTAAGATAATTGTATACAAGTACAACTCCTGACGGTATTAATTCACCACTGCTAGGTACAATAGTGTAATGAATTGAAAGAGTTGGCTGGAGAGCAAGTTCATTCCCATATGAAACATATTGCAGATTAAATCTTTTGGGAAGGAAAGCATCAGTTTGTCCAATAAACACTGGAGTCCTTAAATAGTCAGTGACTTTAATAAAAAAGATAAGTATAAAGCAAATGAGATATTAATTTACTATCAGCAAATGTTGCTGGCTCTCGTGAAATAGTCCAACAAAAATCACGAACTTCATTTGTTGGAGCCCCAGGAGTACTGAGGAGTACATCAGCAGTAAATGAGTATGTTCTACCAGCATCACTTGGACCAATATGCACACGTGATTGATCAAAACCAACAACTAGTGAACAAAAATAACAATTACAACAACATAGGGTACTGATACTATGGGATTTTATATAAAACAATTTGAAACAGCATACAAATTAAAAATTAAAACTTAAATAGTCACAGGGTGTAGATCTACATTCTGTGGTAACCTTACCAATGCATGCACCACACTGTGCCACTGCATTCAATGAAGAATGAGATATATATCCTCCACCAGTTCTATTACAGCAGTCAATAGCTGCAAGACTGACTCCATTAGTATTAGTAGTACAATCAGCAGCAGATGAATAACACTGTACAGTGACATCCTCTGGTAATTTCTGTGTCACTATGATATACACATAATAAAAAAAGAAAGTTTGAATGACTTATTCTACAAGACTATATCTGAATTCTTGTATAACTACTTTAGTTAACAGAGACAACACTAATTACTTAAGGATGGTTTAGGTCAGTGCAGTTTGTTAATTCAGTCCTTAACACACGTGCATGGTCATTCTAAGCAAGCCTAGGCTTTGCCCAGTTCAAGATAGGCTGATTAGGTGAGTAAAATAGTTATACTAATAATTAGTTGATTAATTATTCATTTCCTAGTTGTTACTGCAAATGCATAGCCATAAATGCATGATAATTGACCTCAAAGATTCTAGTCTCTCATTGCATTTGCTGAAAGGCAAATTTGATCTAATTAATTACTGTATGCATATGGCTTAACTTTTCCTAACTTACCATCATTATTATCCACTACAGTCACATTCATTGTTCCTGGATTACCTAAACCTATATTACCAATGTTCCTTAATCTTAGTAGATAATGTTTATCAGGTTCCAGTGCAATGTTATTATCAACCATGGGAAAAACAACAGTCCTATTCTGTGGTATAGCACCAGTACCAAATGTGACAAAACCAAGTGATTTTCCATCTATTCCAATGTATAAAAGAATAGAATATAATATTATAGACATACTGCTAGTTCCATCATCAATGTAAACTTCTATGGTTTGTTCTTGACTCATTTGTCCTCCTCCTAGTATGACAGTGATTGATTGATTTCCTCCTTCTTCAGAGAATGTAACTTGACCCATAGCAAACCTTACTTCAGCCTCTGCTTAGTGCATAATACAGCTAAGCATTAAATTTTATAATAATTAGACTAACGATCATCATCTTGTATCCTGATGAATGATGGAGTCTGGTCTATCATTAATCTACTATTTTCTGGAAAAATGCCCCTTATTGCTATGGTACAGTTCTCCAATAGTTGTTCACTAATGAGATCATTCGTAATATTAAATCTACCACATGTTCTGTTTGTAAATGAATGTAATACTGAATGAATTCCATGAGTACTGTAGTCATCTAATTAAAAGGCACATAATACAATAAATATTAATATTGATATTTACTCCTAAATCTTGCAGTGCTATCTTCAGCTTGTAGAGTTATTTCTGTATCATTTGATAATACTCCTCCAGAGAGTACAGCACATATTTCTACAGTTCCTTCATTCTCAATCACATCATATGTTCCTCTCTCTAATGACAGCACACCAGCTATGCAATGAATGATAAAAATAAAAAAACCAACATTAGATTCTTCATCTCTCATCTTAATTATTATACACCACCATATGCTTACTGTCATCATCAATAATGGTGATAGTAGCAGTTTGAATATCTCTCTGTACTTGAACAACATTATCACCACCAGGTACTATGATGACTCTTATTGTTTCATCTCCCTCAATAATATTATCTTGAAAACTTGTGATAGGAGTGAATGGAATATCATTCAGTGTATTATTGTCATTGTAGGTTAATCTTGGCACAGTAATATTAAGGGAGAAATCACTATCTATAATTATTAATATTAAAACCAACACATTGTGCTAATACTAACTATTTGTAGCAGTCCCAGATACGTATCTCAATTGAATTGGACTTAAACGATCCTCTGGAAATCCTCCAATGCCTACACCAGCAGTCTCATCTTCTATCTGCTTTATAGTTAATGAGGCATTTTCTCCTTCTCTAATAGTAACATATAGTTCTCTAAACCCAATACTGAAAACTATAATGCAAGCAAGTAATAATATAAATATCTCATGAACAAATGACCTACCATCTTGATTATCAAGTCTTACTATTCGAGTGTCAGGATTTATCCTAACTCTAGAATCATTAACAGTGAGTCTCCACTCAAACATTTCTTGTAATTCCACAATATTATCCAGTGGCATCATAAAAATCAATTCTTCAAAGCGTTGCTCATTTAATGTTGTTGGTTGAAATACAACACTTTGCTGCTCAGTAAAGTTGAAATCATCTAATTAAAGGAGTGAATAAATCATAAAGAATTATCATGTCATACCAAAGTCTCCAACAGCAGCTTCATCAGGAGCCAATGGGCCAAAATACCTCTTATTTGAAACAGTGACTTTAAAAGGAGCTTCATATGTAATTATTTGACGTTCAACCCTAGCTGTAGCACTACTACCTTCTAAAACTATTGATGGCTCTTGAAGACCAATAGTAATTACTATAAAGAGAGAGAGAAATGATAATCACAATAAACTGATTCAATACAAACTCACTGTCTATATCCTCTATTGTAATGCTAAGACGTCTGTATACAAGTACAGCTCCTGATGGTATTGCTGGATCACCTGGATCAGTTTCAGCAGCAATTGTGTAATTGAATGAAAGAGTTGGTTGGAGAGCAACAGCATTCCCTTGTGACAGATACCGTATGCTAAACCTTTCTGGTAGGAAACCATTTGTTCGTCCAGTAAAATCTGAGCTTAAGTAGTCAGCAACTTAAATCAGAAAAATTAACATAAAGTAAATAAAAGCATTATCTACCATCAACTGCTGGTTCTCGTGAAATAACATAATCCAGACCAGTAACATCAGGAGCCCCAGGAGTACTGAGGAGTACATCAGCAGTAAATGAGTATCTTCTACCAGCATCACTTGGACCAATATGAACACGTGATTGATCAAAACCAACAACTAGTGAATACAGTACAAAAAATAAATATGGCTTAAGATACTATCATTAAAATAATGAAACAACTTTGTGTTTGTGTCACAATGATTATCTTACCAACGCATGCACCACACTGTGCAGAATGTCGTATATATCCTCCACCAGTTCTATTACAGCAGTCAATAGCTGCAAGACTGACTCCATTAGTACTACTAGCACAGTCAGCAGCAGATGAATAACACTGTACAGTGATACATTCCTGTAATTGACCTTGAACTATACACAAAATAAAATAAAATACCAGTAAATGCCTTTATATAAATACAAATACATACCTCCAATCAATAGCAAAAGGAAAGGAAAGAATACCACAAGGGCCATCTTGGCTAATGAACATTGGTCAATACCTTATTTGGTCAATAATTTATATGGTAATAACTAGTAATGTACTTACTCCAAATTAGTTAATACTCAGTCAAGCACTTTGAGCCAACCCACTCCTTTGATGGGATGCCAGTATCAGAATTCAGAAGATGTTCATTTCTTTATCCTTACAAATGCAAAGGCATATATACAAAGGGTGTGAACTACTGTGCACTGTGTATACTTTTATTTTCTAGTTTGAATGTACTATATTGAGGAACACTACTGTCATTCATCTTTATTTTTCATTATAATTTTCAAAACAATCTTTTTAGTGGGAGTATTCAAATAATAGGCCATCATGGCAGCACCACGTCACTCCTGCTATTTAGGTGACCATTATGACTATTGGTCCACAATCACTGTAGCATAAAACTAATGACTGTAGTGTAGGCTGTGGAATGGCTGGCTAGTTAATCTTTTCGATACATTTGATTTTGTACTTAAATTAATCAATTCTATGGTTCAGACTATCATTGCAATTCACATGACATTAAAGGCATGTATCCATATACACTAACAATCAAGTTTAAGCAGTCATTTCTCTTCTTAACATGATCTTCACGCTGCCAAAGACTAGCCCGGTCTTTAGAAAAGTATCAAGATAATGAGCCTAATAAAGATGTACTTGGTTTGATATGAATCTCATCAGTTGAGCTATTGACAAATAAACCAGAGCACTGTGGTCCGTCTAACTCTTTCAGATAATCAGCAACCGTGGCATTCATTATTATGTCTTCTCCATTCATATTCTTGTCTTTGAAAGTGTGAAGTGCTTCTGGAAGTGTATCTGTGAACATTTCAAGATACAACCTATGTATAAACACAGAGCCTGTGAGTATCATTGAATAATAATGAGGGTCTCGTTTGCCACAGTATTTATATTGACTGTCTTGAAATGAATGAGGTCTTGGACAATGACCAACTAGAAGATGAGGAAATGCCTAAGGACAAGAGATGGTTACAGCATAGATTACAGACATTAAGCAATTTTCCAATTGGTGAAGGAGCAATTATAATGGGTGATCCAATACAATATAGTCAAGCAATAATATCACAATGCTCGATAATTACAGGTACTACTTAATTGGAATGTAATAATTAAATATGCAATATAAGTACAATTATTAGTACCCACAAATTATATCTACTGTGAGTAAAATTGCATATTTTGAACCCAAGATTAAAAGTTACTCTAAGGTATAGGGTATAAATTTAACTACATGCATGCCAGCAATCATATAGTATCTATATGATGCAATTATTTGTTAAATAATTTTTGGTAAAAAAATATAGCAGCTAAATCTTTGTCTCTGTTAAATTAATGATTCATTTATACAGTGATAGTCTAGCAATAATAAAGAGATTAAGCTGCATGCATGCAGTAGACGACAGCCAAACAAGACTTCTTACCTGCCATGCAGCAAAACCTTTTTCCATACCATGAGGATCAACCATTCGATCATCATCAACTGAAAATATTACTACAAGAACGAAATTGATTATTACTTCACGGCATGCATGTTTTTTACACTACCTTCAGTCTCTATTTCTGGGTAAGGCCTAAATCGTGACGTTAATTTATTTTCCTTCATAATCTTAATCTTCACTGGTACTTGGCATTTGAAATCCTTTATTGGACCAGGCACTGGCTCCCCAACATTATTCCACAGGACTAATATTTTATGTACATTGGAAATGTTGCAATAATGACCTATGACCGTCAGCAATTGAAGGTTACGGTTATGAGTTGGCATAACAACGGTGAATTTGTTCCTTGTGTAGTTTTTATGATAGTCTAATGATGGATGACCATATTTAGGTTCTGATCGTCCTGTAGTAGGGAGACTGCTCGAGTAGATCCTTGATGGAACACATTCCGGGAACTTTGCTGCTTCCCCCGGAACACAAGTATAAATATACAAGCAGAGAGAAGTACCAGTTATTATGGTCAAAAACAGTGCAGCTTTAATCCGCGAGACTGTACTTGTTGGTCTTGTAAATAAAAATCTCATGTTGATAGAAAATCAGCTCAGCAAAAAACAAATATTGCCAAAATAATATATAGGGCCGAGGATAGTAGTTACTGTAGTAGTAGTCTTGGTCTAACAGCGATCATAGAACAGGACCACCCCAATTAACTCCATTATTAACCATGGATACTACAAATTGACTTTAAGTGAAGACTTTTCCCACCACTAATGTATAATTATTATTAACAGAATGAGTTCATAGACAAGCATTCTAAGCCACACCAAAGTATGTGATCAGGTCTGATGTCAGAGAAACCAGTGAATGGCCTTTCACTATACAGTGCTGGAGCTATACCTTTCTCACACAGCATGTGTACTGTATGGTAAAGGTCTTGCCATGCAGTTAACCTTGCTTAGGAATGGTAAGTTAAGTGGTGGCTGCAATTAGTGAACTAACATTATTGATACCAAATGCAATGTGACATACTGTATATTACATGTATATATACTGCTGGTAACATAATGGCATGGTTTCATCTTTAACACTGAGTCTCCATCTAAACACTTCTTGTAACTCCACAAAATTATCCTGTGGCATTATATATTCAAAACATTGATTAACCTGAAATTAATATGCTAATAGTCCAAATGAATGAAGTGTCAAAAACATTAATAAAATGTCATACCAGTCTCCAACAGCAGCTTTATCCTCAACCAATGGGCCAGTATACCTCTCAAGTGAGACAGTGACTTTCATTTGATGTCTGATGGTAGCTACAGCATTACTATCTTCTAATAAAGGTTCGAAACATATTTATTATGATCCCTTTAGATTCACAGTAATTATACCAAGAGTGAAAAAATAACAATCCATTAATTATTTCCACTCCTACTAGATAGGTGATCTGTGGTCATACAATGATAACTTCATAGGACAATGACCACAGAAGGCAGTTGACTTCAAGAACATAGAGTATCAATCAAATACTATATTTTTATTGTTTATAAAAATTATTTTAAAACAATCCTTTAAAATCAGTTATTCTATCTTTAGTGGGAGTACTCAAATTATACGCCATCATTGAAGCACTGTCACCCTCTAGTGGGACGCACATCGTTGCTATGGACATGCTGTCATCACTCTCGCCAAAACTAACGCTTTTCCGTTTGGGTGTGGTCCTATCTGGAGTCTTTAAAATAGAGCGAAGAGGAGTGGTAGGAACAGAGAGGTCTGAACTAAAAGACTCTGACTTGACAGGAGTTTTAAAACCACTAGCAGCAAGAGGAGAATAAGTGAGAGTCCTTGCACTGGCATAGGATCTTAAAATATTATCAGTGAACATATCAGGGGATTGTGGTAGGGGCGGAGCTCGAGATCTTGTGGGTGTGGTTGGGTTATTAGTGGGCGTGGTGTCTGTGGTAGAGGGCGTCACCCATTCTCCGTGTAATAACGAATGAAGGACAGCAGGAGAAGGATCCTTATTGAGTACTGGGAGAAAGAGAAAGAGAGAGAGAGAGAGA